TGTTCTAGATCTGTCTAATTGTCGAGGTGGAAAATCGTTAAAATCGGACCATATGTGCTCAGTGGGTGGCAAACCATTCTTTGGAGGGACGATTAATGTATTTATATACACAAGTACGAGCGACATAAATAACGAATACCCGTTAAAGGTTTTATGTTTGAAACTCGCAACTTGGTATAGCAATATGTTATAGATACATTGAGTATAATATTTGATGCGACAATTTTTTTCAACTCCCGTAAAGAATAAGAAAAGGGATAAAGATTATTTCTTTTTTTTTTTTTTTGTAACTAGAAAAATATGTTTGTCGCATTTCGCGTGGATTATGGAGAGATGGAGCTGCGCTGTTGTCGCAGCGATTTATTCCAAGGCGGAAAAAGCGAAAATAGGCCCACGGTATTGAATGTTTGACTAAGCGGCTGATTAAGAGTGACATAAGGGTATCGCACGTTCCAGATTAATCCGACAATGTGTGTACGCGCGACTAAACACTGCCATGTGTACAAACATTGACAGCCGGTCACGCACTTGCTGTGTAGTTAAATTGGTAGGACAATTCGTAAGCTGAAAGCATTTAAGAGGGAAGAGTGTGCGAGGTGAACCACATTGAAATCTTACGATGGCATACTTAACGTATATTATCTCTTGCATATGGATCTATATTTTATATTTGTATATAATTTATACATAATGTATGATCGAGTATATCTAGCTCTCGTTTGTTGCAATAATTAAAAAGAAATTTTTAAATAATTCCCTGTAAGATTCTCGTATAGAAATATCAAAATTAAAAAATGGACCATTTGAAAATGCATATATTTGTATATACGGATGAAAAATATAAGATTTTTTTTTCTGTGCCGCATATTTTGAACCTGATTCGATATTGAGAATCCAATTCCATCGCTTTACAAAGATAGCCAAATTTCGATGTGATTTATTACGTGTAGAAAGTCAGAGAGGAGAGAAGATCGGGTCTGGCCAAGAACCGTTCATAGGGCTAATCGTTAGGGCGGTCACCCTCGTCTCTTCCCTCTCCAATTTGCCCCCTTCCTATTTTCAACCCCAAATCATAGTATTGCAACCTAGAGGGGAACTTACGCTCGTGATAATTGCATTAGCATTCGATGATTTTTATTGGCTTCGATTAATATTAATTCAAACGAGCATTGTATCAATAACAAGTAAAGGATATACCGATTTCCTTTTATCTTTTTTTTTTTTTTTTTTGAGGCAAATAAATGGCATCGCTGAATTTTTATACGTTCTTGCGTTAAAAGATTTATTACAAATGGTAGTAGTTAAACGTGTAATTCTTGTCGATAGGTTGCGCAGCCCAACATGCTCTCCTTGGAAAAACCAGAAAGCCGAGGACCGCTTTCTCGTCGCAGCAGTGGCTTGAATTGGAAAAACAATTTAGACAGAACAAGTACCTAAGCAGTCCGAAGAGATTTGAAGTGGCCACCTCGTTAATGCTTACGGAAACACAGGTGAGCAGTGAGCATTTTATCAAAAACAAAGAAAAGATATACCCATTTCCTTTTTTCTTTTTTTTTTTTTTTTTTGAGGCAAATAAATGGAATCGCAGAATTTTTATACGTTCTTGCGTTAAAAGTATTATTACAAATGGTAGTAGTTAAACGTGTAATTATTGTCGATAGGTTGCGCAGCCCAACATGCTCTCCTTGGAAAAACCAGAAGGCCGAGGACCGCTTTCACGTCGCAACAGTTGCTTGAATTGGAAAAACAATTTAGACAGAACAAGTACCTAAGCAGACCGAAGAGATTTGAAGTGGCCACCTCGTTAATGCTTACGGAAACACAGGTGAGCAGTGAGCATTTTATCAAATTAAATATTATAAGAAAATACACGCAAAAATCTTCATACGTTACGTTATAAAGAAATTCATAGAAAATTATAGATAGAGTAATTTATTTTTCGAGTGAAATCGATTTTCAAATTATTCGTCATTTTTTCATATTCATGAATATTTTGAGAAATTATATTAAAAAGAAAATAATAGCAAAACTTCGAAAGTTGATTTCACCTCTTTCAAGTAATATTGGACTAATAAAAAGATTCCATGTATATTTCATTATAATCTACATACTAACAATGTTTCATATAAAATTATCATTGATTTTTGATACAACTTATTAATTGAATTTGCATAAAATGTATGAAGATTTCTGTGACTAACCGACTAATATATATTATTGTTGATATGTTTTATACACGATCTCCTTACTTTTCTTTTTCATTTACTTTCTCTTTCTTTTTTTTCCTTTTCGTTTTTTCTTCTCTCTCCTTTTTAAGGTGATACTTGAAGATTACACGATAAAGAAACCTAAATGAAGGGTGAATGAGCGAGCGAGTGAGAGAGAGAGAGAAAAGGAGACGAAGAGAGAATGAAGAAAGGGAAAAAGCCTCTAGAGAAATCGGTGAAATAATCCAGGGACCCTTCCTTTCCTTTACGAAGAACGAACGTGAACGAGCGAATCTCTTGCATAGTTTAACAACTTAAACATAACTTTGAAGCTTACGTGCTCTGACGGATCGCTCAGCAAATAGCAACGAAAGTCTGAATTATGGGAGACTGAGTCCCTGATTTGTTTCGATATTCAACTGATTCAAGCTCCGAGCATTTTACCTTTCAAATTGTACGAACGTTGCATACACACCTTTCTTATATTTTCTTTCAGCATCCACAAAAGGGAGAAAATTCAGTTAACTGCTCTCATCGATCATCGATCATTGATCGTATTAGATAAATATTAATAACCAAAACGTGATTGATTTAAAGATATTACAAAAGAGGTGCAAAGATTTTTCAAATATCATCAACTTTGTTATTATATGGATAGATATATCGTGGAAAATTTAAATTTAAGTTAATTTTTTGTATTTTGCTCTTCGTCTAATTATCTAATCGATTGAATTAATTGAATAATAAGAGAAATAAAATGTCGAAATCATTTCCTCTTTAAACTGATATTTTATATAAACCTACTTGCTTTTTTCTTTGCTTAAAATTCGATCGTTTTGTAAATATTATCCGATATTGCAAATATATATTTATTATCGCGAGAAGAAAGCGTATTCCTTTCTCTCAAGGGTGAAATATAGTAGGGCTGGAAATGAGACGGCAGATCTATTCAAGTACGTGATATGTTGTCCAAAGGATTTATACATCGTTCTCTTGCGGGATTAGGAAAAGAAATATTGAGTTTATGGTATACTTGCAGCGATTCGAAGGGGTTGATTAATAGATATATACGATTTAATATCGTACAAGAAAAATTCAACCTACGTTCTTCTATTCTCTGTTACTTTACTGCATTACGATCCATCTCCTCCTTCCTTCTCGAGTATTCGTTCAAGTGTTATTTTTAATTGATAATTAACATTGTGTTTGATTCTTATAGATAATATTAAGATCTTGTATCAACAATCGTGTGTATATGTGTGTTGGAATTTAGGTGAAAATCTGGTTTCAAAATCGTCGAATGAAATGGAAAAGAAGTAAAAAGGCGCAACAAGAGGCACGGGCGAACAATAAGGTGGAAGATGGTGGGAATGTGAGAAGCGGCGAGAGGGAAACAGGGAATGATCCGAATCCAAATTCGCCGAGTCCACAGGAGGATACCAAAGGAACGTTACAAGAAACGCAAAGAAGCACGACCGAACTTCAAGAGCCACTTTATCGACCGTACGTGGTATAAAACATTGACGAAATAATAATTGACGTAATGATGTGCCAAATAAGAACTAAAGAAAGAACCGTGAGTTGCCATTTTCGCGTCATTTTCATCATCGATCAAAACACCGTCGGTCGATAACACACCTTTGAATACTTCGTGTGATACCAATCTTGTTCTTCTTGGGATCGAAATGTTTTTTTTTTTTTTTTTTTTTTTTTTTTTTT